CAATATCCTACGTTTGCCCTTTTCGCTGGTGAAAAAACACGTTTGGAAAAGCCGACCCACCTATCCATTTCTGTCCAATTCGCCACAAAAATATTTTTTCTTCAAAACATCGCCCCTCGAAAAAGTTCCCCCAGGGGATGTATCGCGACTTAACATTTTTCTTTAACTCCTTGTCTCAGTAGTCACATTCATGCAAAGTTTCAGCTGTTCATGTTCATCAGTTTAACTGATGAAAAAATAAGTTGAAAACATATTCCTTGGAAATTTGTGCCCCCAAGGAATTTACTTCCAAAGTCTGACTTTTTCTGCAGCATCCCAATAGGTAGTTATGTACCAAGTTTCATCTTTCCATGAGTCTCCATATCAATGAAGCAAAGAAAACTATTTCAAAATATGTTCCCCGAAAAGGTGTGCCCCAATGGCAGGTATCACTGCAGTATAATTTTTCCTGAACTCAGCAATGCCTCATTAAATATGGACAGTTTAATATGGAATCTTAAGTTTCAGAAATAATTAAACTTCACATCTCAGGAAAGTGCGAGTTTGGCTTTTTACGATGCTAACATTTCCTGCCAGATCCGATGATTAGGGGGAATGAGTAACGGGACATGGAAGGCAAAAAAGAAAACTTAAGAAAGCCAAGAAATGGCAGGGAATCGAACCTGGACCATCTGATTGCCACTCAGAGATGCCACTACTACACCACCGAACCCAGCACATCCTGATGTTTCTCTGAATGCCATCCTCAACTGTCACTAAATGTATTTAAGAAAAACGTTTTCCCCCAAAATTTGTACCCCCAGTGCACGTACCTCCAAAGTGGGATTTTTTCTGAACTCTGCATCCCAAAAGGTACACGTGTACCAAGTTTCAGATTTCTATCCCTTATAGAACATGGTTATAATTAGCGTCAGTCAATCACGATCGTCTATATCAGGGGTGCTCAAAGTTTTGGGTCAAGAGGGCCGCATAGCCTGTCGGGTACGGGCTCGCGGGCCGCAAAAACGAAAACTTGCTTTTCTGCATGATACATATAATAATAATAATAATTGTTTACCTAATTTTTACTGTTGGACGTATGTAGCTGGGATTTTCCAGCAATCATCCGAGGATACCTTGGCTTGTAGTTAGTAGTTGAGATTCGCAGGACTGAGTGAAGATGTTCATCCGTGAGTCTTGTCCGCCATTTTGATTTATTGAGGTTCATGATTGAGAAAGTCTTCTCGCAAATGTATGTAATTCCAAAAAGAGATACCATACGATGGCCGTGCTTACGTTTAGGTAGGTACGTTTGGGCTGGAAGGTCTGAGGAGAATTGGTCAAGGTTAAGGTCACGATAGGAAGCCTTCAGCTCAGTGCACCTTGCAATTCGATGAGTTCCATCTGCATGCTTGTGGGTGCAGTTTCAGGATCGCATGAAAAAGGATCTGCAAAAATTGCCAGATCTTGTTCATGAGAAGAATCTACGAATCTACGAAGTCTACGAATCTCCTGTTGATTTCTTCTAGCAAACTTTGAATATTCCCAGAGTTTTTCTCGGAGCTCAGTGAGTTGAATACGATGCCCTGGTCCTGGTCCTCGTCCTTAGAGAGCTCTTCACAGGCTGGGAAGTGAGCTACGTTGCCTTCTCTCAATTGTTTCTGAAGCAGTTTGAGTTTTCTTTCAAAGGCTTTCACATGGTCAAACAGTGTTGACACGAACTTCCCTTGTCCCTGGAGCTTCAAATTCAATTCATTAAAATGACCCATGATGTCAACTAAGAATGCTAAGTCACATAGCCATTCGATGTCCGCTAGTTGCGTCAAGTCACGTCCTTTCTGTGACATGAATTCCTTGATTTCTTTGCGAAGAGTAAAGAAGCGTTTCAAGGTTGCACCTCTACTGAGCCATCGAACTGCCGACATAGCCATTCGATGTCCGCTAGTTGCGTCAAGTCACGTCCTTTCTGTGACATGAATTCCTTTATTTCTTTGCGAAGAGTAAAGAAGCGTTTCAAGGTTGCACCTCTACTGAGCCATCGAACCGCCGCAAAGAAAACCACATCACCATGTTCGGCTTCACATTCTTCAAGGAAGGTCTTGAACTGGCGATGGTTCAATCCATTGAACTTAATGAAGTTCACACATTTGACCACAATGTCCATGACGTTATCTAATTTGAGGACAATACATCACCATGTTCGGCTTCACATTCTTCAAGGAAGGTCTTGAACTGGCGATGGTTCAATCCATTGGACTTAATGAAGTTCACACATTTGACCACAATGTCCATGACGTTATCTAATTTGAGGACACGAGCTATAAGAGCTTCTTGGTGGATTATGCAGTGATAATGGATGATCTCAGATCCATTCATTTCATTCACCTTTTCTTTCAAGAGGGCATGTTGTGGACTCAAACGAGGACAGTACCTACCACGTGGTAGTCAACATTGCGGTTGATCTCTACTGGTAACGTCTGGCAAAAGTAGGTAACGTGGCGTTTGACGCAATTTGTTCAGTGTCGGAGAGCTGCGGTCCTTCAGGCTCACGAGTGCAAGTAATTCTTCCATAACCTTGAAGTCTTCTGTGACGCCACGAAGGAAGATAAGGAGCTGTGCTGTGTCACCAATGTCAGTGCTCTCGTCCAAAGCCAATGAAAATGCCACAAATTTGTCTGCATTGTCACGTAATTGATTGTGAAGGTCGTTGCCTATCTCCTCCACTCTACGCGATATTGTCATTCGAGACAAGCTTACATCATGAAATGTCACTTTTTTTTCTGGACACACAATATCCGCCACCTTCAACATGCAATCTTTGATATATTCACCATCACTGAATGGTTTCCCCCGCCTTGCGATTTCGTGGGCCACAACATAACTAGCATGGACAGCAGCTTCTTTAGTTTGTGTCACTTTCTTGAAGATCGTAACGACTCGATCGTCAGGGAACGCGTTTAAGAGTCGAAAAACGAAGGAAACTAGTGGGTGTTTAACTAGTTTTCAAAACACTAAGCAGAGTATTACTGCGAAGTACAACATGAGAAAGTAGTGACGTATGTTTTGCTTGCAAATTAAACACAGAGGTTTCCCATCTTGTTCAATGACAAAGTACTCGTGAGTCCACTTATCTTGAAATACGCGATTTTCTTCATCGATACGACGTTTTCTACTTGCTGCTGACATGGCCACAGAAAAATAGATTCCAGCTTGTAACTCACAAACCCACACTGTCGCTTGGTATGGGGCCACGGCTCGACTGATAATCCCAGTCCTCGTGGGATGAACCCATTTCGACGACATTGTCCCTTCTTGTTTGTCCTTTGAGAGACGAGTGACATACAAGCTTGACAGATGAGGCTGGAGCAATAAAGTCCAGGGTTTTGCTCCTATACGCCCTTCATCCCTTCCAGGTGGGATTGTAAAAATAGATAGGGATGTCGGAAGGTGGCATAAAATGTTATAAATTATTTTCATGCGTATCCCATACTGCGGTGTGTGTTTGCGATGTCGTGGCGGCCATTGGGAGGATTCTGATGCTATCAATTTGTCAGAAAAATTTGCATGTGAAAATGATAAAATTAAGTTCCTTTGAGTGATGCGTGCAATGCATATTTTCAGCAGAATCTGGCAGCCATGCAGATTCTCTCTCTCACAGATGGCACCTGGTTGGCAAGTCCAGTAAAGCGCCTTATAAAAGAGTCAGGCAGGAAGATTCCATAAGCGAAAATTTTGGCCTGGAATAACCCGTATTCACCCACGAGTGAATTTAATCCTAGTAAGGCTATACTTCGTTCATTCCGCTGCACGTAAAATCATACATTCCTTAACATCATAAAATTTTATACTTATTTTCTCCAAAACTCTTCGCGGGCCGCACTTTGGGCACCCCCGGCCTAAATCATATTTCGGAAGGTTTGATGAAAGCTCGGCTGGATCCTCTTCATGTAATACACGTACTGCGTATAAGTTTTATGGAAAAGGCAAGGGAGGAACTGGAGAAAGGGTTTAGTTAGCTGCAGACGCATTCTGCTCAATTCCCAGTGGCGATTCCTAAATCAGCCTTGCCCGAAGATGTTTTCACTCACACTTTTCTTCCGGCACTGCACGAAATTCTCCGTAAATTTTCCTGCCCTTTCTCCGTTAGCTTCGCGTGTGTTGCTTCTATGTTGGAGAAACTTGAGACCCCCAAAATAGGATACTAATTCCAAGTTCCCCTCTTCCCGTTTTCTTGTGGGGTTTTCATTTCTGCCCGTGAAAAGGGCATAGGGAAAAGTCCTTCTCCTCCCTTCCCATATATGCTACTTTAACCTTTTTTTGCCCTTTGAGGATGACATTGATGATGATGATGGTATTATTTCGGATAGAAATAACTTGACAGGTTGATTGGTTGAAGGAGACGCTTTTGCGTCTCCGCCAGCTCAGATTTTTATGCATGAAATCATTCCGCCATTCTCTTCAATTGTGAATGCCATTGATTCCCTGGGGTTTCATCGCCACTTTTCTACTCGTAGAATCGGTACGTTTTACCTACGTGAGATGTACATCAGACGCACATCAGTACCTCTTACGGGTTTTTGAGACTTGCTTGGAATGGGGAATGAATCCGACTAGTCTTATAATAGTTTTAAGCTGACCTACATGTATCCATTTCCCAATCATGATCCAAAATTCTGCTAAGTTCAAGATTGAACTTCATTGAGATATCTGCTTGCTCTGTCTCGCCAATAGTATCAGAGTTGCTGCTTTCCTTTGTCATACATTTCGACTTCGTGTTTATGTTCGCATTCTTCCTTTATTACCTCATTTATCACGCGTTCTCTGGGGGTTTTATTATGCAACGGAATCCACTTGTGTCGTCTTTTTAAATGAAAAAAAGGGAAGTCAATTGGACGTTTGCTGTTGTATTCCGTTCTCGGCTTGTGCCAACAGCAGCACCATTAATTTCTTCATCCAATTAAGTTGTCCTTTTCATAATAATTTAATGTAATTTGGACAAGTGTTGACCTATTGGGGTCTTTGACGTTATGCTGTAGCTCCTGAGACCATGCAGGATTCTCACACACTGGTTCACAGTGCTACCAGCACTTCTCTTCAGGCGACTTCCCTTGATGAATCCGAAGCTGGTGCCCGTCCCAGTCCTGTAAGGCTACGTTTCAGGATTTTTTCCCCTTATTTTGTTCCCTCTCCAAAAAGCCACAGGATGAAACTTCAGAAATGAATCAATATTGTGCTGAAATTTCAGCGCAACCTGAATTTCATGAGGAAGATCCCTCCCGGTGCAGAGGCAGCTAATATACTCGTCGGGGAAGTCGATTTTCTGGATCGTCCAATCACTGCTTTCATTCGTCTCAACGCTGCCACTCATTTAGGAAACTTGACTGAAGTTCCCCTTCCAACTCGCTTTCTTTTCATCATCCTTGGCCCGGCTGTGAGGAAATTGAATGACAGCATAGCGTCTTTTCATCTGAAAGGCATTCTTTTCTATTCGAGGTTCTCCTCCTCTTCAGGGGAATCTGGGTCGCTTCCACGAGATAGGACGTGCAATTGCAACATTGATGTCAGACGAAGTATTCCATGAGATCGCCTACAAGGCAAAGCATCGGAGTCATCTATTAGCTGGAGTGGACGAATTCCTAGATGCAGTGACCGTTCTGCCTCCTGGTGGATGGGATCCAAGCATTCGGATAGAGCCCCCCGAGAAGATCCCTTCCCAGGTTCTCTTCCGTCTCTTTTTCGAGGAAGGACATGGCTTCATGAATAGGTCTGAGCAGTTCCTGTCACCGCTTCTTTTTTACAGGACCTACGAAAAAGTCATGGGAAACCAAAGGAAAAAGTTGACGAAGAGGAGGAGGAGCACAAGATTCGAGAAGAGAATGGGCTTGTTCGGTCTGGTCGTCTGTTTGGCGGACTCAGGAATGACCTGAAGCGAAAACTTCCCTGGTTAGTCCATTCTGCAATCCCTTTTCTAGATGAAGACTAACCATGTCAAGGTATCAAAGTCGGTTTGTGGTATCAGGAGGCGATAACGCCCATTTGGGTACCACGTGTCGAGGTCGAGCGTTCCTTAATTTTAGGGCAGGCCTACTCCTCTTAAAGCTAAATAATTTTTTTTGTCAGCATATCCTAGTCGCTTACTGCCGAGTCCCTTATGTTTACATTGCCTCCCTTTTTTGCTTTGTCCATAAACGCATCTAGTTTCTTCTTTAAAATAGTCACTGAAGGGGCAGCCACTAACGCATTCCACGCGTTCACCACCCTGCAAGTAAAGAAGTCCCGTCTCGACCAGAGCGATAACTGTAGTTAACGCAACTTGAGTCGATTACCTCTCGTTCTTTTGCTGCCATCCGACTGGAAGAACCTACCACGCTCTACATTATCTATTTCTTTAATGATCTTGAAAGCCTGGATGAGATCGCCTCACCTTAACCTTCTCTCGAGCGAGAACAGTTACAACACTTCCAACGCTTCTAGAGCGGAAGTCCCTAACTTCCTTCATCATTCTTGGAACCCTCCTCTGTACACCCTTAAGCGACAACAATTCACCCTAATTTGTAGGCCTCCAAAACTGGATGCAATATTTCAACTGGGGTCTAACCAGCGCCGCATACAACGAAGAAAAAATGTGAGAGTCCCTACTGGCAACTTGACGATGGATGAATCCTAGAATCCTGTTACACTTTGCCACCGTCGCTTGCGCATGCGAGGAGAACTTGAGGTCTTCGTCAATAGAAACTCATAAATCTCTCTCTCCCTTTGCTTCCCCCAGTTTATCCTCGCCAAACGCGTTGAGAGACTTACCGTTATTTTGACCGACGTGGAGAACTTTATACTTACTTTTACTGAGCCATTTCTTGCTCCACTCATCCAAAAGACTCCAATCTCACTCGACTCTGGCCCAATCAGCCTCCCCTCAAACAAAAAAACCTATTTGTTGTCGTCGGCAAATTTACTAATCTTACACTCTATGCCTAGATCCGAATCGTTAATGTAGACCAAAAACAAGCGGCCCAAGGACCGAGCCCTGAGGGACACCGCTTGCGACCCCGACCTCCGTCGACGCTTCCTCATTTACTATTACTTGTTGCTCTCTTCCCATCAACCAGTTACTGATCCACTCGCTCATCCTACCCTGGATGTCATTCTTTTTCTAATTCGGCTTGTTCGTTTTTCCTTCTAGACTCTGCTGACATATTTCTTATTTTGCAGGTACTTCTCCGACTTCCGGGACGCAGTGTCCGCTCAATGCATTGCTTCTTGGATTTTCTTGTATTTTGCTTGCCTTTCGCCAATAATCACTTTTGGCGGGCTCATGGGAGACGCAACTGAGAATCGCATGGCCGCCATGGAATCTCTCGTCTCTGGATTTGTCAATGGAGTCTGTTATGCACTGTTCTCTGGTCAACCCCTCACCATCCTTGGCAGTACAGGACCTGTCCTCGTTTTTGAAACTATTCTTTACGACTTTTGCAAGTGAGTCGCTGCGAGGATTCCTTCTCAATCAGCCCTTATGAAAATAAGAGAGTGCATGTTGGTACTTCTATGTTTCTATCGATCTGCAGACGCAATGCGCTGGAGTATCTGTCATTTCGTTTATGGATCGGAGTTTGGGTGGCAATATTCTTGTTCATCATGGTGGCTGTCGACTTCTCATACATCGTTTGTCTCATAACACGTTTCACCGAAGAGAATTTCGCCTGTCTCATAGCCGTCATCTTCATATACAAAGTATGCTTATCCTGCAGGGAAGCGAACGACCCACAACACTCTCCATGTCATGATGTTGTTTTCTTCGCAGGCTGTGGAGAAAGTGACGATGATCGGAGTAAACTATCCCATCAACATGAATCCAGATATGCCACTGGATTATTCATGTTGGTGTGAACCAAGCAACATCAGTATGGTGGATTCTGAAACGGTGAATTGGACTTCTCTCTCAAAAAAGGACTGCGTTAAGGTCAGTACAATAGTCAATCTCCTGGCTTCCCCCTACCATACGAGTTACTCATCAAATTCATCTCATAGGTTTACAATGGGACGCTGGCTGGCTCCGGATGCGAGACCCCTCAGTACTACCCAGATATATTTTTGATGTCCATTCTGTTGTTCCTTGGGACGTTTGCTATTTCCGTCTTCCTCAAGAACAGCCGCACCTCTGCATACTTCCCAACAAGAGTAAGATCACGCTGGAGGATATAAGGGTGTAAAGGTGTGGTTACCTAAAGTAGTGCACTCTCACGGAAGCTAGACTCATCGTCCAAATAGACGACATTTGTCTCCTCAAGTACTTTCAAGGTACAGAGGAGACTCATTCCATGGAAATGCTCTCACACACATTTGTCGTCTATGAGAACAACCTTCCCTGGATGTAACTGCCTATGCAAGTGCACTACTACATAGTAAACCCACCGTAAAAGAGGAAGAGAATCACAGAATTTATAGAATCGTGGATGTTTTGGTTGTTGACAGGTACGTGTAGTGATGAGCGACTTTGCCGTGATCTTCGCCATTTTCTCCATGACGATCACGGACTTTTTTGTCGGAATCCACACGCCAAAGCTCATGGTTCCCCAAGAGTTCAAGCCGACCTGGAAAGGACGTGGATGGATCATTCCTCCATTTGGAAGCAATCCATGGTGGACGGCCATTGCCGCCCCCATCCCTGCTGTTGTTGCTACTATCCTCATCTTCATGGACCAGCAAATCACAGTTGTGATCATCAATCGCAAAGAAAACAAGCTGAAGGTTTGTCTCACAGTCAAATCCTCCAGATTAACAGTTTCTTGTCTTGTGTATCATGCTATGTTTTCTTGCTTGTTCAGAAAGGGTGCGGCTACCACTTGGACTTGTTTGTCCTATCTTGTCTCATCCTCATCTGCAGCCTTATGGGTATTCCTTGGTTTGTGGCTGCTACGGTCCTCTCCATCAATCATGTCAATTCCTTGAAAGTGGAGTCAGAATGTGCTGCCCCTGGCGAGAAGCCGCAGTTTCTTGGAGTTCGGTGAGTTCCATTCCTCCCTACTTTTTGCCGTCTAGAACCACTGAACTCGGGTACTACTCCACTGTAATGCACTAGTCCAAAATAAATTTAAACCGAGGAAAATCGGTAACTAATTGTTTAAGTTTCGATCTTCGTGACTGCAAAACTACAGGGTGAGTCAAAAGTCCTGCCCACTCTTTGAACGCGAATAACTTTGCGCTTGATCTCATCGAGATGCTGTTTTCACTATTCGAAAGACTAGACAATCCAGTATTGAATGAAGGATTTTCGCATTATTTTGCTCATGGTATCATTCGGAAATTAAATTACTATTCTGGAGGTTATACTTATACAAAGGCATTGGCACGTGAAAACACGCCTTGCGGCACCGCATCCAATTGGCTGCTCGAGTATGAGAGTAAATGTGCCTTGGCTGTGATCAATTCATGGAGGATTGAGGGAAATGACTGATAAACGATTGACCAATGTTAAGCGAGTTGCAAAAGTTCGATTTTACTCCGAATGCGACGGAAACTGCTCGACAATTCAAGAAGAAATTCATCGGAGAAACAGTCAGCTGCAAGTTGTTCGCCCTCATCAACTCAAATGTCGACAGGACGGAAAACGTAGCAGACCTTCCCCGATCTGGACACTCTCTGACAGTCGAACAGAAAATTCGGCACAGTACTGCATGCATTTTTTTTGGTGCCAATGTATTATTGTATATGACCCGTACCCAAGTAACACAAGATATTCCAGCAACGTTTCGGAAATGTTGATGAACAATGTTGCCTCGATGTGTAAATGTCCAAAACGTCAACGTTGCTTGAATGTTGCAAAATAACATTGCAATAATGTTGCAAATCGTTGCATATTCATTACATACACGTTGCAGAAACGTTTCAGGAGTGTTGAACTTATGTTGCTGCAACGTTGATTGAGAACGTTGCCTCAATATTATGAAAGTCCAGAATTTCAACGTTGCTTGAATGTTGCAAAATAACAATACACAATGTTGCAGATCAACATAAAAGCAACATTTATTTCACCATTATCTCAAATGCATATATCACCTGATTTACACAATGTCACACAAACCCCGACAAATGGAATAACAGGTTTTCA